TGGTTTGAAGGATTTGAACTTCTTTGAAGAGCTGCCAGCTTAGCGAGTTTAGACCATTCTGCGTATTCTCCGTGGCTGCCGGGGGGTTCTTCACCGCTTTCTCGTGTTATGTGAGGCTTGCAGCGAGCGCACAAGGATTAGCATACAGTCGGCCAAGGTCGAAAATGCCGCGGTCACGCTTGCAATAGTTGCGCAGCAAGTGATGGCTCCATCCAGGTGACCTCCATGGTGGGCGTGGATGCTATGCGATTTCTCAATGACCTCTTGGCTGCATCCGTGGAGGCAATTGCAGCTTCAATTAGCATCATGGATGTTGGCTGGGGTTCATCCTCGGTTCCAAGGCTCAGCTGACATCCGGTTTCTCCTTTACGAGTTGTTCACCGGGACTACTTCTGTGGAGGCTCGGGAAGATACCGGAAGCAAGTGTAAGACTCTTTATCGTAACTACATGATGTTAGAAGATTCCTGCGCAAACATCGGTATGTGGATTCTTGTTAAGCTCCAGCGTGGCGTGACTGCGTTTCATTGCATGTGGCACCGCGCATGCCTGATGTGGGGCAGATGGTGAACAAGGAGGCGCAGCGGGACGGGCAGACACCGACGCCCCTAAACTTGAATCCTGCCGAGTGATTGCGGGGGTCCCAAAGCTGGTCCCTTTCAATTCTGAGATGCAGGATCTGGCAAGCTTGCTCCGCGTTGCACGGGAGACAGGCTTCATCAGGGCAAAGGGATTGTTCAAGGCCCTCCCGGGTCGTACCGACTTCTTGCTGGTTCTTCGATCAGACAAGGATGGTCACATGCATCATGCTTTTGAAAGCGCAAGTGCTGCGACTGGAGGTGCAGAGTGGTGTTGAGAGCTTTGGAAAGGAATCGCCAGGCTCTTTTGCCTTGGAGTTGGAACTTCTGCTGTGGTCCCGTCTGCGGCAAGTGGGCTTGTTGCGAGGTCTTTGGCGGGTTCAGACGAGGAGCACTTGTGTGCGTTAGCTGTTTCATTTGTGTATGAATGGCTGGGAAGGCGAGGCGATCTTGGGCACTGCCAGGCCGGCTTGGAACCACATCTGCACTTCAACCGCGCCGCGTCTCTCAGATTCTCGATCCAGGTGGTCAGCACTATGATCGAAATTCTGCGTCGACATCGATGAAGGCACACTGCCACGCCGGTGGCTAACACCTACTTGAGTCACACCGTGAAACGGAGGGTTGTTTTTTCTTTTCTTTTTAGCCTTTCTTTTTTGGCTGCTGGTCTGGAGAGGTGTAGCGCAGGCAGGCACGGAAAGCAAAGGAACGAAGGAGCGAAGGAAGGAAGGAAGGAAGGAGGGAGGGAAGGAGGGAAGGAAGGAAGGAAGAAAAAAGGAAAAAAGGAAGGACCCTAAACCCTAAACCCTGAATCCTAGGGTTTAGGGTTTGTGTTTGAAGTAGTGGGTTCGCGGGCCTTGGAACGTGTCTGGGAGCTCAGTCATGAGTGCTGAGTCCGGGATGGTCATGCCTGCAGATCTGGCGAGTGAACAAGCCCAGATGGAAAAAAGGGTTTAGGGTTTATTTTTTTTCTTCTTTTTTCTTCTTCTTTTTGGACACACTACTGAGGATGGGCTTCTGTTGTCACCGTGAAAGAAAACTGGAACCAATGCAAGAAGGTGGGGTTCGGAATGCTCTCAGTATTGCAGACAGCCAGGATGGCATTGAGGACTGGGAAGAACAAGATAGTCCGGAGGCCGCCCTTGAAAAGCGCTGGAGGGGTTACTCCCCCGATGTCCAAATACAGCTGGACTAACCGCCTACCTGCCGTACTGAGCTAAGTGACCGCTGAGTTAATTGAAGCACTTACGAATTCCAGCCTATGTTGTGTTTTTGGTACTTGTTGGGCTATTTTTACCCCCTGAATTCAATCTGGAATTCGAAGCTCTGAGTAAAGAGTCAATAACTGTCTTTTAGGAACTAAATTTGCTTGAGCTGAATTCATTTGCATTCCTTGCGGCTGCGTTGAATTAGTAGTACACTTCGTAATTCACTTCGTGCCTAATTCATAATTGACCTTGCGTCGCTTTGCAGTTTGCGCTTCTGCAATTAATTTACTAGTGCCGAACCTGAATTTGCACCTGCGCAAACTCCAACCCTGAAAGCCCTGCCAATAGTGGGATGGCAAAGCTCGTGACTTATCCTATGTTGTTAGTCTTGTTTGTTTGTTGATTGCCCGTGAGTCTTAGTCTTCGCCATCCCTGTGACTAGTCAGGTTGGTCTCGTGTATTTGGGCCATCCTCGATAATTTGGGTTGGTTTGCAATCCAGTGCCTTGTTCTAGATTTTACCCTGCGGAGTCATTGAGCTATGCGGGAGGGAAAAAAGCCCTGAATCCTACGCCCCTAAACTATTCCTAAACCCTAAACCCTGAAGGCCTGTAGGGAGTAGTGGCCAGTTGGGTGAATGCATTTAATGCCGTAGGCGGTCCTCTCAAAGCGCAGGCCTCAAAGACCCGACCGCCCCGAACAGTCCGCGCCTGCATTGCGATGCGCGCGTTGAAGCCCCGAAGCCCCTAAACCCCTAAGCCCGAAACCCTTCTAAAGAAGCCACCCAGACAACCAAAAACAAGAAAAGGCCAAAAAACAAAAAGATAAAAAGAGGCCGAAAACAATCTCCACCCCGGGTGAAACTCCTTGGCAAGACTCTCTGTTTCAATTTGCCAGACATAGCAGAGATAGAGGCCAAAGAGGAACGCAAAGCAAAACGATCTCATCAACAAACCGAATCCAAAACAGTCACCGAGCCCTGAGCTTCAACACTACATATTAAGGCCTCATTCAGAAACGGCTTTCAACAATCAGCACGCGGGTCGCACGTTGCTATCTTAAGGAAGTTGCGCTGGAAAGGCAGCTTTACCTGTGCATGCGCTTCAAATTAATCTTTCACAGATATGTTACTGATGCGCCGGACCTCCATTGGGAATCTTGCTGTGGATAGCCGCAAGTGCTTGAGGGAGAACGATTGCATAATGCCTTCCAACATGCAGGGCAAGTGTGAGCGTGAGCATCACCACTAAAGAAGTTGTGTTTTCTAGGCTGCGGCCAACAAGCTAAAGAGCATGGAGAAGGACTTGCTGCCGGCAATTGTAAACTTTAAGTGAATGCCTCAAAAGGCGCTGCGTGTAGCTCTTGCAACAGGTCGCGCTGTCTGTCGATCAGGGTTTTCATGAGATGTGCTGTTCAGGGCTTCCTGCGGCACAAATCTCTAGGAGTTGTACACGCTGCCAGAGTTTGCTGAAGCTCGCGAGCACAACTAACACTGGCGATCGATGATGCTGCAGGCCTGCCTGACCTTGCATGCTTTTCAGTTGATGAGGTAGTGAGGCCAATTTCAGCGAGGCATTGACAGAGTGACTGGTTTTGCGGGCAGGCTTCGCAAGAAACGTCCGCTTTCAGTCTCCCCCGATCACGACATTCTTGATTTCCTTGAGATTATGCTGCCTGGGTGCTTTCGCAAATTAGCGTTCTGCGCGGAAATCGAGCAGGATCCGAAGGGCTTGTCTGCTTTTTCCCGGGTGGTCCAGAAACGTCTGCTGGTCTCGTTGGCTCCAGCGCCAGGGTGCCATTACAGTGCAGGCCTCAACCAGGCAGTTCGGTTTTCTCATGTGACTTTCCTGCGCATCTTTTCCTTGCCGCAATTTTCTGATGCTGTCAACGAGGTGTTCGAGCAAGACATGAGGCGAACCCCCTTGAAGAAGTGTTGCCTTTCTGTGGTAGAACCATGAGTGGAGGCACGGAAGTATGCCCGACATGGAGGATTTGCGGAAGGTCCGGATTTCCTGTGTGCAGCATGCAGGTTTGTGCAATTGCTTTGTGTTGGGTGGGGCGGAGATGCGCTGAAGGTGCGGAGCTATTTGATCCTGGCTTCTTCGGGATGTCCGCTGCAGAATGGGACATGTGCCAGGACGACATGGAGTACTCCGAGCGGGGCTGAAGAATTCCTCCGGAGAGGGGAAAGACCTTCAGGGTCCCCTACGGTTGCCAACCGTCGAGCACGGCAGCCTTGTTTCAATCGTTTAAATGTGTTTGCTGTGAAGCGAACGCTTGTTTCAGCCGCTGTATAGTTTAGAAGACGCAGTTCATCTGTGGCTGCGGTGGCTCAACAGGGGGCCCCCTTGAGGCTGACGATGGCAGCGGGTTGACTGACGCTGCGCGCTCTAAGATTTCAAGCTGAAACTACTTCTACTACTATTACTACTACTACTACTACTGCTGCTGCTGCTGCTGCTACTACTACTACTACTAGTAGGTGACCGTCGTGTATTTGACGCTGGGTTTTTCTTCACTTGACCATCGTTTTACGGTGCGTTTGGCCACATTCAGAGAAAATTGAGGGAGTGAAACTGCTTTGATTTCGGACGCTTTCTTCTTCACGTGACCCACGTTTTACAGCGCGTATTGCGTTTTTGCTGGTTTTGAATATGGGCTGTTTTGGGGGGGGTGAGGGGGGCGGTGGGGGGGTGGGGGGGATAATTACGTCCATGAGGACTTCAGAGGCTTAGCGTCGAGACATGGGTTTCGGATTGTGTGGCCAGCGCAGGACTTTCAGCACTTTGCCCCCGCGCAATCTGCAAAAGTGCTGTTGAATCCCCTGGCCCCTGCCAGACACACTGCGGCGAGACATGGCTAAACTACTTGTCGCTGAAGCCGAACAATCGCGAAACAAAGTAGTTCGCCGCTCCCCCAATTTGTACTTCTCAACATTTACATTCTTCCGAAAAAGTGCTGAAAGTCCTGCGCTCGCCACACAATCCGAAACCCATTTATCGATGCTAAGCGCAAAAACAACAGCGTCAAATATACGACGACGACCGCCACGTACTACTACTACTACTACTACTTCTTCTTCTTCTTCGGAGCGCGATCGTACTACTACTACTACTAATAATAATAATAATTGTTTTTGTAATGCAAGCTTAAGTGATGCTCTTCGTGGGGATCAACGTCTCTTTTCTCGTGGTTCCACGTGGTTACACGGTGCAGCATGCGCAGCATTTGTGCTTCAAAGATCCGCTGGCCCGGTGAGCACCCGAGAAGCCTGCGCCTCAGATTTTGGAAGTGGGAATTTTTTCTCCAGCATGAGAAGCCGAAGTTCCAAAGTGGGCGATCCTACTCAAACAAACTTCGCATGCGCAAGCTCATCCTTGCATTCAGTTTTTTGTCTGTTCGGCTCCTAGCCGGTGCTGGTGTTGGGGCTGTGGTCAAAGTGGATTGGATTTTGACTGTGGAAAGAGCGAATTGGGCAAACATTGGTTGCACCTTCGAGGTTGACCTCTGTGGGTGGTCCTCTGGTTTTGAGAACCAGAAGAACCAGTGGGGCACCGTGCGGGGCCAAACCGCAACAAGTGAAACTGGGCCGCCAGAAGGGGCTTTCGAGGGGGACTGGTGCATTTACACGGAAGCTTCTGCAACTTTCAACGAGGCAGGGCTTTGGCGGGCTTTTGCTCGCTATAATTATGTGTGCGCATACATCCAATTTACAGATGCATGGCCGGGCCTAGAACTGAGGGGTGTAAAGTGTTGATAGGTCTCGGCAGGCGACGACGGTAGGGGTAATTCAAGGGGAGCTCCACGGGACCTACTGAACGCCGGACCCCTCTCGTCTAGCAGGATTGCAGTAGGGGGAAAACCGAAAGGTAGAATCCCACTTTCATCGGCCCAACAACCTTTTCGTTTCGTCGTTCGTTTCGCGCGGCACCACCTGGCATAGCGACTACTCAGGCGAGGCTGTCCCCGGTATCCAAAGTCCGGGCCTTATTCCTGCTGGCGGGCGGTCGTCCGTTTCTCCGGGTTGATGGAAGCGTTTTCCCGAGCGTTATCGGTATCCCATTCCACCTTACCCCTCCACTGTAGAAACATTACACCAGTGTTCGCCCGGCAGAGGGCACACATTCCACACACAGACACACAGACACACACACAGCAGGCGTTTTGAAGAGGGTAGCGGTACTGATGATTGCAAGTGGTAACGCTGATCTGCTTCTTGATTCTCAATTCTCAACACAAATTACACGGGAGCCTGGACAGCTTGGATCCCTTGACCCCGATTCCGTAGAAAACAATCCCAAATATGTGAACAAACAGCACTGCGCCCCATCCGATGGCAGGCCTTTATCCTGACATCTCCGATGTTTGAGCGCAACAACGTAACAAGGCAGTTTGGCTTTGCCTATAACATGTGCGGCGTAAACATGGGAAGCTTGCGGTTGGAGTCTTTGGGCAGCCGCTGGACAACGCTTTGGCTGAAAGCAGGTTCTGGAGGGCCGTGCTGGAAAACCGACTACGTTGCCATTCCGCAGGATGCAGAGATGCGGCGCTTCGTGGGCATCACGGGCAGTGAATATAGAAGCGACATGGCTCTGGACGGCCTCGGTGTTCGTGTCGGCGTACCTGTTCTGGGGCTAGAACACCTTGCCTGCGATTTTGCATGGGGCGCGCGCAGATGGCTCAACACGGGCAACGTCAGTTGGCAGCGTGCCCGTGGCCAGGCCACCGATGGGTGAAGGCAATGCCTCCGCCGGCCAACTTTTCATCATCGAGAGCCCTACGTTGACTGCCACCAACGCAGAGAAGGGCTTGGTCTTTTCCTACATGATGACTGGATCGAGCTCAGTGTCCTGGAGGTGGAACGCAAGACAGAGTTCGCTAGCTGGTCGACCTTGTTTACGGAAAGGGGAGACACTGGCGCAGCTTGGAAGGGTGCCTCCATCCGAGTGCCCGAAGGCACTGTTGGCCTTCGGCTCCTAGCCAGCCTTTCTGCAGGGGAAAAAGCGAAAGTTGGTGTGATCTCCCTTGCAGATGTTGTGTCCGGTTTTGCAAATCTGACCTGCAGCTTCGAAGTCGATCATTGCGGTGGTTCGATGGGCCACAATCGTCTGTCACGGGTCCCGACGCAGCCTTCCGCAGCGATTTTTACACTGCCGCCGCAAAAAACATGGCTGCCGCTCTGACGCCAGAGGCAGGGCCTGCAAGCAAGACGGTGTGCAAATCGCTCTTAGACAGGAGGTAGCTTGCTGCTGCGCCTAAGCTTGTAAAAGATGGGGAGAGCTTGCGGTAGTTGTCACATGTTCGCCCTCGCAGGCCGTCCTGATGAGTTCCGTGTTCCCTGCGGCCGCCAGCAAGTTCTTCTTGGAGTTTGCTGATCACATGACGGGCTCAGAGATAACCAGCCTGGAGTTGCAGTACCTCCATCGAGACACTAGGCAGCCTGCGCCTCCGCAGTGTGTGTGACTGAAGCACGCAAAAGTCTTGAGCAAGTACAGAGGATGTAGGACAATGTAGGTGTGGCAAAAGGCAAATTAGGCAGAACTTCGACGTGCGAGAAAGAGAGAGACTTCAGAGACCATCCGCAGGTCCATTGCCTTCTCACTGTATGGAAGCTTCTACCACAACTGTGCCGTCTTCTTCACGCGTGGCCTGAAGTCTTGGGAACGCGGACTTGATGGCCATACTGGCTACGGCGCCACAGACACGATCGGCGACGGTCCTGGGGAGATGGGCGTCAACCTTCCCTTCGTGGATCTGGGTGGCCAAAAGCCAGCGCAGGTGGATTGTGGCGAAATTCACTGTTGCGCTGTTCTCGATGGCGGAGCCGGCGGAGCCGGCGGAGCAGTGAGCTGCTGGGGAGGACAAGGGGGACGGCTCAGGAAAGAGCATTGGCGACGGGCCCATGGAGATGGGAAAAAATCTGCCCACGGTGGATTTGGGGACGGGAGCCACCGCGCTCGAGGTCGTTACCCATTCATATCATACCTGCGTGTTGCTGCGCGGTGGCTCCGTGAAGTGTTGGGGACGCGGATCGAGCCTCGGCTTGGGTGACGAGTGCGTGCCTCAGTCGTGAAGGCCGGTGCAAGTGCAGACTGTGGCCACTCTGTGCTTGACATCCCAGGTGGATCCGTTGGCAGCAGCAGGGTTGGACCTTTTGGACGACTCTACGTATGAGCGGTTGCTTTGCTTTTCTGGCCAGGTAGCTATGGGGCATGGATCTCCGCCGTGTTGTGAGTATACCAGGCTGAAACTTAGGCCAGGCCCAGGCCCGCGTCCGTTACGGACTCCTGAGGAACCCTACAGGGTGCAAGGTCTCTCGTGGGAGGAGGAGACAAGGTTGGCCGATAGCTTTATGCTGGTGGTGCGGACTATCCAACTGCTGCTTGCCGTTTACGAATCGGGCGGCATGGCGTCCTGCGAACATCCTGCTAACAGCATGGTGTGGCTACTGAGACAGGTCAGGCATTTTGTCACGGCCATTCTAGCGGACGTCATTGTGGTGGCCGCGTGCTCATATGGTCTTGATCGCGCCAAGCATTGGGCATGTGCCTCGTGTTACAGGCCACTTCAGGCCCTGGCATCTTCCTGGCGGATCATGTGCCGCTTGCAGGCGTCCGAGAAAGTGATGGATCCTTCCGCTCTCGCAAGTCTGCCGAGTATCCACCCATGCTTGCACAGGCGTATGCCAACTTGGTAGCTCCCCTGTTTGAAGCATCCTTGTCCCTTGGCCCGCAGGCGCACCTTTCCGAAGCCTATAAATGCATTCCCGCAAAACCCATCACTGCAACGTTCCCACGCGCGAATCAGGATGGGGGGGGTATCAGATCCCTCCCCGATTGGTCTACCCCTCCTTCAGGGGCTGTCGATAGACTCAAAGACCCGCAGAGGCTCAGAGCACACGTAGCAGAGGAGCGCGATGAGCCGCTCTTGTCCCCTTCGGACGTCGTATCGGCGCCAGTTTCAGGATCATGCGTGCTTGTCAAAATCCATATCCTGGGAGGTCGAGCCAGGTCAACCTTATTGCCTGTCAGCGCTGGAATCCCTAGCTCAGTACTTGCAAGACCCCGATGTCGACATGTGGCGATGTCTCCATGAGGGGGTACCGACTGGATTTCATCAGGACATTCCTCCCAGCAATGTCTTCGTGCCCACGGGCGACGACCCCTTCATCCCACCCGAGCTCATCACTTGTGAGGGGAATTGGTCAGGCGCGGAGAAGGAACCGGAGTTGTTCCGCTCCTTGGTGCAGCAGGAGGTATCTGAAGGATGGTTGCAGCAGGTAGGTTCTTTGCAACAAGCTGAGGAGCGATGGCCCTCCATGACGGCGGTGGGAAAATGCAGTGTGGTGCAGGCGCCTGGGCGTAAACCCCGTTTGGTCGATGCATCCATCTCCAATGCCAATGCCAGCTGCCTTGTCCCAGAGAGGTACTCCTTGCAGATTCCTAAAAGCGGAGGCACTCCCTTTTAGCGCACTACCGAGGGGGACTTGAAGTATTAAAGGCCGCGGAGGATGTGTCGAATGCTTGCATTTGCGCACCCCCCTTGAAACGGTGAACACCGATTTCGGTGCATCAGAAAATTACATCCGGAGATGCCTTTAAGGTTTCGAAGAATCTTGCTCACACACACGGTTAGTGAGGTGATTGCCATGGGGAAGGAGCTCACGTTGAAAAGGGATGGAAGGGTGGAGTCGCTGGTACGTTGTGTTGTTGTACTGCTCGCAAGGCTCCTCGCTTTCCATCGCTTGCATCCCTTGCCGCTTCCGGGCCCGGGCGCTTTGCATCTTCTCATCGTAGAGAACCTTCCAGCGATGCCCCATTTGAACATAGAGAAGCATTTGGTGTTTCTCTTGCACCTTGGTGAGGCTGTTGGCGATCGTGGCATCCCCGTGCACCCAGCTGATTGTGGTCTGGAATCTTTCCAGGTTCTCTCTCAGACTGAGCGCCTCAATGTCGCTGCGCTTTTCTGCCCCCTTGACTGTGAGAATGGGAGTATTCAGCTTGTCAAACAGGTTCTTGGCGTCAGTGACCAGATGGCCACCAATCTGTCTCATTACTTCGGATGGCCTCCTCGAATTCAATGGATATCCAAGGAGTTCGCCCCGCGTGAGACGAAGGTAGAAGAGGTCATCGTCTCCGTCCGCTGCGGCCATGGTTTCTGCAGCTGCCGGGGACCTGCAGACCCTCTCATCTTTCCGGATCTCCAGTACATTGGAGACACGTTAGCTTCTCTACCTTACCGAAGGTCTCCGTTGGACATCCCAATGAACACGCCTTCGGTGCTATCTTTCCCATTGGGACGATTTGCCCATGCCGCATCTGTCCAGCGTGTGAACTCCAACACATCTCCAGGTCTGAAGCTGTGGATGCGGAGTCGGTGTCGTGACCACTTTTGTACAGCCCTTACAACCTTGTTAACCTCAAGAATATCCTTAACCGTACTAACCGGAACCGTAGTAATCAGAAAATTAGTATCAACCGCATACATAAAACAGGTTTGACCAGTAATCCACGAAAGGCTCCCAAGGACTGCTCGCATCTCGCTCTTCTCCCTGTCTGTGGTTGGAAGCTCTGTCTGCCTGGCCCGATCACGTGTGAGATGGATCTCTTCCAGTTCTCTGATGGAGTGCTCCTGATCAAGATCAATGGAGTAGTCCTCGTTTTGTGAGACCTGGATGCCGCACTGTACGAAACGACCCTCCTCCCATGTTCCCCAGGAGAAGCGCTGCTTCAGCTTTTCCATCAAAGATTGGTGCGCAGGACAATTTTCCCCCCCCGCAAACATAAAATCATCAACATGACCATGGATAACAGAACGAACAACACCCTGAGCATCTTTATAAATCCAACAGCAAGGCTCGGACTGAAGACGGGTGTACCCGATGCTTTGGAGGTAGTTGCAGACACTTCTGTACCAATGAAGGGGAGCTTGAACTAATCCGTACGCCGCTTTTCGTAACAGCATGGGGGTGTTTTCCGGAACATTGAGCTCACGACAGATTTCAGGAAGGGGCCTACACCACAAAGGTTCAACCAGATCATCGCCTTGCAAGAAAGCCCCGCTAATATCCCCCTTACTAATCCGAAACCTTCTACAAGCAGCCAACTGAAAGAACAATTGCCTTCCCGCTTTAGACGGGGTAGGAGCGGAAGTTTCACGGAGCTGGTATTTAGGGTCCTGGTAACCTAAAATAATAGCACGAGCTTTCGCCTTCCGCCCTCCCAGCTCTTTATACTTCTCTTGATCGAATTTCCAGGACAAAAGCCATCTCATGCCTAGGATTTCGCGTTCCTGGATTTCCCGTCCTTGCCATGCTTGGAAACACTAGGGGGGCACAATTCCGGACCTCAGTCCCTTTGGCCTTGTCAAACTCGGCTTTCTCACGAGGTTGAAGATGTCGTTCGTGTACCTCAACCTGCTTGCGTTTGAGGCGTTGACAAACATAAGCGGTGGGGTTGGCCAGGAACTTCTTCATTCCTCGCTTAGAGTCTGGAAGATCGATCCCAATCTCGACGGCAGAGAGATCGGTGCCCTCACTGGTGACCAGGAGGAGCTCGATCTCCGGCCGGCGCCTCAAGAGGTTCTCCGCTGCGCTTTTCCCCGCGTCGGGGATTCTCTTTGGGTGCTTTGGCGCTGCCGCCAGTGCCAGAAGATTCTGGCGATCGTTTGCCCCTCATTCTGTGAGTTGGATGGAGGAGCAATTCATCTGGCTGATGGTCGTCTTCCTCCTCCGAACGAGGTGGTGGCCGAGGAGGAGGCGCCGACAGAAGACCCATAAACGAACTATGGGTCTGAGGGGAGCACCTCGAGTTGGTGGTAAGCGGGGCCCTCCGGTGGGGACCAGAACGCCGTTCTTCGACATGGACAAATGACTCTTGGCGCAGCTATGAGTACAACCTTATTCGTCATGGGATCGAAGCTCGGCTAGTTTCATCCCAGACTTCTTGGCAGGCTTCCTCCTTTTGCAACGAGCCGGTTTGGATACGCAGGAGCGAGCCAACATCCTGGCGGCCATCCGCGGGGAGTTCAGCACTACCACCGTGGCTCCCCCTCCGGCGCGAGAAGCTCTTCCTCCGGAGGGGCACCTTCGGGTTCCAGGTCCACGTAGGTTCGCCGTTTTGGATCAGTGGCGAGCTTCGAGATTGTCCATGGAAGTTCGACAGGGCCTTCGAGCTCTGTCAGGTATCTCTCCTTGCATGGCGAATCTGCTCCGGAGCAGCGCGAAGGAGCCTGCCTCCACGATGAAGCCACGCAATTGACCCTGGCCAAACTCTCCATCCTCTTGTTGAGTCTCTGTGGCAATGACGCACGTTCGATTCGCTGTCGAGCTTGTTCGTCGATAAAAGCCTTCTCGGCTACGCGCGTCGCCCGCATATTCTGGCCGAAGCCCCCGTCCTCGTAGATGTCGGCGTTCACGGGCTTCTCATCTGTGGTCTCGAACATCCGCATGTCCTCATCGGGAGTGCGTCCTGAGGCATGCTGTAATGGAGAGAAACCCCGGTAGAGGTCCCGTGAATTGCCCACCCATATACTTCTGCTGAAAACCTCATCTATGGACATGTCGGGAAACTCTTCGGCAATGGCGGACATGGTCGCCTTAGTGCTCTTTGATGGCATTCTCAACGGAACCAATCTGCCAGTGGGCCTCCGCTGGTATTGGTTGTAATTCAACTCCTCGTTCCGCGAAGTATGTGTCGGCCTGAGCATTACTCCATGGACCTGCCGGGTCAACTCGAAGAAGAGCAGGTGTGCCATGGACTGGGAGCCATAACTGTTCGTAGGAAGTCTTAAGGTTTTCCCATGAGCCCATCTTCCTAGGAGCACCCTTATAAACCTGACCCGCCCTGAACTTACTACCCTCATCCACAAACAGCACAAAACGATGCTTCGTCCGGTGGATGGGATGGTCCCAGTCCCCCGTATCCACCTGAATGCGCTCCCACTTCCTGGGAAGTGTTTCAAGTGATGCATGGCGTCTCGGCTGCGGCCTCTTCCGCTCAGCGCAGGTGGGACATGTCATCCCTTTCGCTATCGCAATGAGTTCGTCACTCGCCCCCCTGGACTCAAGTGCCCTTGCAATACTAATGAAACTGTCATGTCCGGTAACCCTGTGAATGTGCAGGAGCTTCTGTTGCAAGTCATGTTTTCTCTGCTGCTGTTCAGGATTGTGTTCGGGTTCAGGTTGGAGTTGTTCATCCTCTCCTGCTTCCGCAGGAAAGGTGTCTTCAAACACCCCGCCCTGGCGATCACCGTCCCCAGCCCCCAACGTGTGAGGTCCCAGAAGGTTTTCCCCTTCGAACTCCATGCTCTTACTTTCCTGGCTCCTAGTGGTCCCGTTATGCTGGCTAGCTGCAGTGTTGCTCTTGTTCTCTGCTATCACTGCTGGCGCTGGGCTGGGCAACTGTTGCTCTGCGGCATGCGTGTTGTGCTTGCTGTTGGTTTCAGAACCCTCGTCTTGGTTTCCTTGTTCCCGGTTGCCTTCCTCCTCCTTTTGCTGCAGTTCTTGAACGACCAAGGACCAAACTTCAGGCTCGCGCATGCAGTCAACTACTTTACGCGCAAAAATGTCAGTGTACCTAGCGGAAGCCGAGGCGCTTCGTCCCCTACATTCCCCATGCATGTGATTTTTCTGGCACCGAAGATTCATGTGCTGCAAAATGGAAGGATTGCTGGATGCTACCGTCCAACCCTTACACAAAGGCAACCTACCATCGACGGTACGCAAACCAACGCAACAACCGTGGGTGGTAACCCGGCCAAAGTGGAACTTCTGCAAAAATCCCTGAACCAATGGCAGCATCCAAGCATCACTGCGCTCTGACATTTCCCAATGGACTTGGGTTCCCTGAGAACGTGCGACCTCTGCCACTTGGATGGCACCGGTGTACTGCTGGACTGCTTTGCCTTGTTTCTCCTCGACAGCTTTAACTTGCTGGGGCTGAGCCTTATTCATCCGTTGCCAAGGGCAGAAGGGACCGCACTCACAAGCAATCCAGAGGTGCACGGGCCTATGTCTTTTAAGAAGTGTGATGGCCTGGGAGACTCCTCTGGATGTCTCCAAGTCACAGCCATTCCAATCACTGCGCCGGATGGCGCTGCCCTTCCCGAAACGACCTTCCACTTCAGTGCCGAGCTTGCTATCGGGGTAGCAGGCAAGCTCCATGAGAAAAGGACGGTCTTGATGAACAACATCTCTCCAGGCTTTACTATACGGGTTATTCTGGGGGCGCCGCTGCCGGCTCAGAAAAGTGGCTGCGTGATCACTCAGAAGAACTTCACTTGCGGTTCTTGGAACGCCCCGTCTGCCATGAGAGGTCCGCCGCAAGATCCTTGAGATCCTGCACCTCCTTGCGGAGCTGCATGTTCTCGGCCTCTGACGCGGATGCCGTTGGGGTCTTGGCCGAGCTGCTCGATGACGGGGCCTCGCCCTTCACACTGGAGACCACGCTGAAGTCGGAACTTGTCAGGGAGTTCGCGTCCGCCTCCTTGGGCCCGGCCATGTTCTGGCCTGGTGGTTTCGGGTATCCTTTCCCTGCGGCAATCGTTTGTTTGGACTCCGCGAAGAGCACCAAGCGTTTGAGACGCCAGCTGCAGCTGTCGTCCTCGGCCATTGTCGTGCGACGCCACTGAATGTAAGAGGGGTGCTCCTGCACCACCTGGCCCAGAGTCGCATCTCCATGCTTGCCGAACCCCACCTTCTCCATAGCAGACGGCGCGAAACTTTCAGTCACCACCTGCTCGGCCTTCGCGGAGAGCTGCGCCACGGTATGGTTGGGATTGGCAGGCAGCCCCTTCTTCTCCAGGTGCGCCACGAACTCTGCTTTCTTGTTGCGCTTTCACTTTTGAGCTCATCCGCCGTCTCCTTCGTGCCCTTGAGTTCCAGAAGGCGCGCTTGAAGCTCGATCACCGTGGCATTGGAGGGAGGTGTCTCTCCTGCCTCCACCAGTCTCTGGATGAGGTCCGCCTTCTTGGTAGCTGGCATGATTGGCTGCGGTGGCACTGCTTTGGGCTGCTAGCTGAGGCGTTGTGCTGTGAGCGAGGCTGTTGCGGGGCAAGTTGTCGGAACTGTGAGGGGTATCGGGGTAGGCAACCACATCACCATTAAAAGCAGTACTATCCCCATCACAACCTTTACCAGACACACAACATGACTTCGAAACCTCAGGCAGGATGCCTTCACAGCCACTGCTGACAGACGTCTGTACACATGCTACAGCTGACTGTGTTCCTTCTACAACGACATGTTCTGCACTACCCCTGGCCAACATGTCACCCAACGAATGCTCGGCATTCCCCTCTTTCTTTGCTGAAGTGCTCCCCTGAAGGGTTCCTAGATCCATGCCCTCAGGGGAGAGCTGTCCCTACTCATGCCTCAGGCTCTGGAAAGGCGTAGACCTTGACGAGCCACCTTCCGTGATGTTGCCGGTCATGGGCATCAAAAGGTGTCCGTTGGCGGCTTCCTGGAGGGGAACCACCATCTTCGGATCAACGTTCTTGTAGATGACCTCGTTCTGGCCAAAGTCCAGCACGGCTCCTAAGGCACGTAGGGCTTTGCGTGAAACCAAAATTGGCTGGCATGGCGAGTCATGAACGTGTACCTCCATGGTACCCGGGCGCTGCCCCGCCTCAAGGGCCATACGAGCTGTGCTAAGGCAGGCATCCCTTCTTTTCGCCATTCCCGAACTTGAAGATGGGACGGCGTGTTGCATCCACTCGAATCAAGCTGGCGCCATGCCGACGAACATTGTGTTCTGCCACCGCCTTCAAGGCATCCACGCTCCCCAAGGATGCGGTAGCACCGCAGTCGATCACACCCAAGCACTTGTCGAGGATCGGGCCTTCCGCCGCTTTTCGCGGGGTCACGGTGTGGTCGTGCGCGTGGCAGATTTCGATGGCATGAAAGGCAACCTCGGCAGCCTCTTCCTCGGCCACTTTGGACTGCTCGGCCTTCTTGGGCAGTCCGCGATCTTATGAGGACCTCCGCAGCGGAAACATTGTAGGGGGCCCCTCCCGCTGGCTGGGCCATTGTTCCCGGCGCTGGGACTTGATCGCGGAAAAGGCTTCGGTGGGTAGAAGTTTCGTCCGAGTTTGATCTGCTTCTGTTTCCACCGGGCTTCTCGCAACGTGGCTTTGTGCGTCTGGATGGCGGCAAGAGCGTCATCGATCTTCTCCTGTTCGGCATGGTACGCCTCCTGCTCGCCGTACTCCAAGGCCTGAGTTTCAAAGCTCGGGTCCTCTGCGAGAAGGGCCTCGTCCTCCTCCTCCATGCCGTCAACGACATAGGCCGTGCCCATCTTAGCCTTGTCCCTTCTTGCCAGGTCTTCATCAGACCATTGCTCCCGAAGAGCGCGAGCCTCGCTTGGTGATGCCGTGCTCGCCGCGGATGATCGTGTAGTCGTGGCGGTAGAGGAGGTACGGGTAGAGGTTGTGGCTCCAAACTCCTTCTGCACCTTCCTCATGGCCTGACTGGCTTCCCATAGGGCTTCGGCATGCCTCGCAATCCATTCTGTCATTGTTTCTCCTCGTTGTCGGCGGAGGTTGTAGAAGAACTTCATGATGTGTCGCGACGATTCAACCAATGTGGGCTTCGCCAGGAAGTCCTCCAAGAACTCCAGTAGCTGATAGGTCCCCCTCGGATGTGACAGCCACTGGGGGTCTAGCGTGGTCCTGGTCCTGATCGCCACCTTTGCCACTCCAGTCAGTTCTTTAGCAAGCCGCGGGCCGACCAAGTAGCGCTTTCGGTGCTCGATCGTCATGAGGTACTGCAACGCCTCCTGG